CTGGAAAAAAAATAGAGAGGTTCCAAGGTCAATGGTGAATCTTATGGCTTTTGCACATTTAAAAATGAACATTTTTTATTTCATTGAGAGGATGTGTTCAGCACACTTTGGTGAATGGAATACACTATAAACTTACATAGATAAAAGATGTTTCTCCAAGCGTGACAGAATTTCCTTGTATCCATGTAGTGATTTTTTAGTGAACAAAGGTTTTCACCACATACCACATACTGCTGCTTTTAAATATACTTTGAGAAGCCCCATGCATAAAAGACGGTTCAAAGAATGCTAGTAGCAATGTGGTCAGTTTTCAGACCAAAATGGAATTAAACCAGGAATTAATAACAGAAATTTGATTGGAAAATCCCTGAGTAAGTGAAATAAACAACACATGGGCAACACAGAGTTATGCATGGGTCAAGAAGAAATCTTGAAAGAACTTTAAAAATATTTTGGAATAAATTAAAAAATATATAGCTTATTAAAATTTGTGGAATGGGGCACCTGGGTGGCTCAGTGGGTTAAAGCCTCTGCCTTCAGCTCAGGTCATGATCCCAGGGTCCTGGGATCAAGCCCCGCATTGGGCTCTCTGCTCAGCAGGGAGCCTGCTTCCCCCTCTCTCTCTGCCTGCGTCTCTGCCTACTTGTGATCTCTGTCTGTCAAATAAATAAATAAAGTCTAAAAAAAAAAAAATTGTGGAATACCGTGAAAGCAGTGCTTTGAGGGAAATCTATAGCACTGACTGAATGCATATTATTAGAAAAGGAGATCTAAAATCAATAATCAAAATTCCCACCTTAGGAAACTGGAAACAGAGGAGCAAATTAAATCCAAAGGAAGTAGAAGAAATAATTCAAGCCGAAATCAATGAATTTGAAAAGAGGAAATCAATGAAACCAAAAGTTGATTCTTTGAAAATATCAATAAAATCAAGAAGTCTCTAAGACATGCTATGTAAGGAAAAAGAGTATGTATATAAATTACTAATACTGGAAATGAAAGAAGGAAAGGTACCAAAGATCCCTACACATTCCATGGGCATTAAAGGCAATAAAAAATTAGTATGAATAACACTATGCCCACAAATTTGAAACTCCGGATGAAACATACCACTTCCCTGAAAGAAACAGGCTTCCAAAAGTTACACAAATTGAAACAGACTATCTATCTGAACAGGACTATATCTATTAAAGAAATTGAATTAAAAAAAAAAACAAAACCTCCCAAACAGAAAGCACCAGGTTCAGGGATTCTCTGGTAAATTCTACCAAATATTTAAGGTACCTCAAAAAATTAAAAAAAAAAAAAAAAAGAAAAAAAGAAATACCATATGATCCAGTAATCCCACTACTGAGTATTTACCAAAAAAGAAATAAAAAAGCTAATTTGAAAAGATATGCGTACTTCTGTTTATCGAAACATTATTTACAATAGCCAAGGTATGGGAGCAACCTGTGCCCAACCACAGATGAATGGATAAAGATGTGGTATATAAACACAACAGAGTATCACTCAACCATGAAACAAAAGAATCAGATCTTCCCATTTGCAACAACATGGATGGATCGATCTAGAGGGTATTATGCTAACTGCAAAGTGTCAGACAGAAAAAGACAAATATATGATTTCACTAATATATGGAATCTAAAAAATGGAGAAAACAAAACTCTAAAGTGTTTAAAGAAACAATACATACTTCCACACCCAGTAAAGTTAATATAGTATTGCAGGAAGAGGAGGAATCTGGGAAGCGACTGGTTTAACCTGTTCAATTTATAGATGAGTAATTTGAGGCCATCCTGAGGCACCCCAAACTGAAATGATTTTCTAGCTAAACAGCAGTAGAGAATTAGGGAAGACCATCTGAATATTTGACTTTTCTCCGTGGTACATTTCTAAATATGGGAAGACTGCCAGACATAATTCTGTTAACAAGCTTCATTCATGCTTCTAGAAAATTCAGATCATGTTTCTAGAGTAGTCAAATTCATAGACTCAAAGAGTGAAATTGTGTTTACCAGGGGCTGCGGGTGGGGAGAAGGAAATGAGGATCAATGGTCAAAAAGTTTCAGTTAAGCAAGATGAATAAGCTTGAGAGATGCAGTGTGCTACACTGTACCTATAGTCAACCATAACATGTGATACACTTAATAATTTGTTATGAGGAAGATCTCATGTTGTGTCCTTGCCACAATAAGGCAAAATTAAATAAAAATTCAGATGTCAGAAAACAGCTGGAGAAAAATAAGATTTTTTTTTTTTTTTTAAAGATTTATTAGAGAGAGAGAGAGAGAGAGACGGGGAGCACATGTGTGTGGGAGGGACAGAGGCAGAGAATCTTCAAGCAGAGTCCCTCCTGAGCATGGAGCCTGATGCAGGCCTCAATCCCACAACCCATGAGATCATGATCTGTCCCAAAACCAAAAGTCAGATTCTTAATCGACTGAGCCACCCAGGTGCCCCTAAGATGGTTGCTTTTAAGACACTTTTATATGAAAAATTATATTCTAGAGATGATTCAAGTTTCTTTCCCTTCATTAAGTGAAGCTTATCACTTGAAGAAGACATTACCCATAAAAACAGCTATTTCTTTTTAATTTATAAGCTTAAAAAAGAAATTTTCTACCCCTGAAATTACAATATTGACATGGCTATGTATATAAAGAGAAATTATAAAAGTGAGCATTGTCCAGCAAAACAAAACAAAACAAACCCACAAAAAACAGAGTGATGCTGAGGGGTGAGGAGAAAAGTGGTAAAAATCAGCCTGAAATGGAAAGATGAAATAGTTATATGATAAGAAAAGTGTAGTAAAATGTCAATGGTAAAAGCTAGATGATGGTATGTATAGGTGTTCACTGCAAAATTATGTCAAGTTTACCATATGAGTGAAAACTTCTACATTTTTAAAGTCAGAAAAATGTCAGAAAAAAAAATCAACCAGCATGAGATTACCCAAGAACCAGAGTGCCTTCATTAAAATAACCCTGGGTAAAAGGAACTAAAGAGGAAGCAGCTTGACTTCCAAATTTTGAATGAACATTGTAGGGAAACAATTTATGGGAAAAGACACAGAAACTCAAAGCCAAAATTGAACACATGGGGATTGTACCATTTTTGCCATATGAAAGCAAAAGAAGAAGTAAAACAACTGTTTAAAAAAAAAAAAAAAAAGGAGACTGGGACCCTTGGGTGGTGTAGTCAGTCAGGCGCCCACTCCTGGTTTTTTCAGGCTCAGGTCATGATCTCAGGATCATGAGACTGAGCCCAGCGTCCAGTCCCGCACTCAATGTGAAGTCTGCTTCAGAGGCTCTCTCCCCCTCCTTTCGTCCCTCCCACTCATGTCCTCTCTCAAATAATAAATTAATCTTTTTAAAAAAAGGAGATTAAAGACTAAAGAATTGAGCATCTTTCATGTTTTTTGGTTATTTTGATATTTGCTTTTATGTAGTTTCCATACTGTACATATACTCCCCAAAATGGCTAAAACTAAAAATTTTTAAAATTATAATACCAAGCATTGGCAAGTATGTGGAGCAACTGTGACTCTCATACATCGCTGGAGGGAGTATAAATTCATAAAACCTCTTTGGAATTGTCTGGCATTATGCACTCAAGTTGTAATGAATCACCAATCCTTTGTAAAGTCTCAACAGAACATATACGGATATGGCCAAAAACATGTATATGAAGATCATAGCACCATTATTCTTAATAGCTCCAAACTGAAAACCACCATTATGCCTACCAAAAGTAGAATGGAAAAAAACAAATTTGAGTATATTCTTAGAACAGAATTCTATACTGCAATAATATGAACAATGTATTGCTACATGGAACATAATGAGTCTCACAAACAATGCTGAATAAAAAAGCTAGTACAAAAGAATGTACACCATATGATTCTACTTATGTACAGTTGAATCAGGCAAAATTCTGTGGTGTACCATCAGGGTCGTGGTCCCATTGAGGAAAATGGGATAAATTACAGGTGGGGAATCAAAAGGGCTCTGTGGTACTGGTATTCCTCTATTTCTGAACTTGAATGGTTGGTTATGTGGTGGTTTACTCTATGGTAATTCACTGGGATTTACACTTCTGTTTTTTAATATTTTAGGTATGATTTACTTCAAAAATTAATCAAATTTTTAAATGAACTATGAAATTTCTACAATTTTCTTTGGGAAAAGAAAACAAAGGTACATGTACCCACCCCTATGTTTATTACAGCTTTATTTCTAATAGCCAAGATATGGGAGCAACTCACTGCCCATCCACAGATGAATGGATCACAAAGTTGTAGTGTGAGTGTATGTGCATGCCCACACATATTAGAATATTACTCAGCCATCAAAAAGAATGAAATCTTGCCATCTTGAAGAATATGGATGGACCCAGAGGATATAATGCTAAGTAGACCAAAAAAGAGACTCTTCAATACAGAGAACAAACTAGTGGTTGCCAGCAGGGAAGTGGGATAGGTTAGGGATGGGTAAAATAGTTAAGGGGATTAGAAGTACACTTATATTGATGAGCACTGAGTAATGTATAGTAGAGCTGTCCAGACACTACATTGTACATCTAAAACTAACACTACATAAATTATACTTAAATACTAAAAAAAATTATAAGGTGGGATCATATTATTTTCCCTCTATAATTAACATTTTGATAAGGAAAAATCTTTCAGTTGGAAAAATTTCACCAATTACAATAATTTTTCCACATGATAAAATGTATTCTTTTATTTTCATGTCATATGGATAAAACTAAAAGACTAAATTTAAATCATCAGGATAATTCTAAAGTAACAATTTTTTTTTTTTTTTAAGATTTTACTTTTTTTTTAGTAATCTCTACACCCAACACGGGGCTCGAACCCACAACCCTGATATCAAGAGTTGCACACTCCACCAATGGGGCCATCCAGGCACCCTGTAACAATTCCATTTTTGATATAAATTAATATCTTTTACTTCTAGAGGTTTTAAAAAATAAGC